TGAAGCTTGAGTCCTTTGATAACAACACCACTTACTTTAATCAGCAGATAACTGCAGCCAGTTATTTTTCATTTAACTAAAGTCTGTTTTCTCAGATTCATTTTAATTTCCTAGCCTGTGTTTGTTTTTTTCCCCCTTTCTTCCAACTCTCTCTCTCTCTCTTCTGCACAAGCTCTCGTTCTTATAAGCTGTGAAAGCGTAATCGAAAAGGAAAGGTGCACACAAAAGCTACAGGCATGAATGCACACATGCATTGTTAATGACGCATCTGTTACTGCAAAACTTTACAGAGTAAAAGAAACATTTACGTTGCATGTACAAACACACACCTGTCACTAGAGTCTGTGGGGGCTGGAACGCGGCACACAGTACAGCACCGCGATGCTGGAGTCCCCCCTTCCACTCACAGGGCTCAACAGTAGACTGCATGAAGGAATGCAGGCGGAAAACTGTTAACTTCCTACAGAGGGACAAACACAGAGGGAAGAAAATGGTGCAAAAATTACACATATAAGACTCCAACACAGTTTTAAGATAAGATGCACACTGGACCATCATTATTAATTCTCTTTCTTTAGGCAACATATGTGTTAATCAGGATACATGTTATATTAAATTATTATTATAATGATCATCAGTATCACTGGCAGTTCGGAGCAGCCCTAGCAACAGTACTTGCTAGTTAGTTACACAGTAGTTACAGTACTGTGTAAAAGTATAGAGTCACTGTTGGAGTCAAATTGTTAAATGTTGCCATTATTATACTTAAATTTGTAAGTCTTGGTTCAAACTGTATGATCAAAGACATTCTCCTGTTTCTATTGCCCTCCCCAGCCTGTTGAATGGTGGGGAGGCTGTAGTGTTTTATTATAGGCACATGAAGGTTCTGTTTTCTTGTTTAAACTTGTTAAACTTCCTGCCTTTATGATCATTTTGGTGAGCAGGAGGTCACACAAACGCACCCCCAAACAAAAACACACACACACTCGCACACACGCACGCACGCACGCGCACGCGCGCGCGCGCGCACACACACACACACACACACACACACACACACACACACACACACACACACACAGTGTTTTAACCTTTTATAGGGGGGGGTTACAATGAGTGTTTGTGTAAACTGTGTGTCACAGAAATAAAAGGCTGTAGGGGAAGCTGGTTCTTTGGACTCGCTTGACACCAACGGCAGAGGACTGCTGCCGTCCAGTCCCCTTGCTAGCATGTGAAAACCGGTTGAGCTGTTCGTCTTGCTTTGTTAACGGGAATAAGTCTCTAAACCAGCAGGGCCTGTAGAAGCGCAGACCCAACAGTCACCTCTCATTTTTTTATATTATGCTGGGAAATAGGTGCAGCAAATACACATGGAAATACAGTAAATAAGGCAAAAAATAATCAAATTTACAAATCTCAGATGTTGAAAGTCTGTATTTGTTATGACAACATTTATTCTTTAACACAACCTGAACTCTTATAGACAGGTTTCTTGTAGCTTGTAGTCTTCAGGACTAGTTCTCCAGGCTTCTTGAAGGACATTCGAAGGTCTTCTTTGGATGTCGACTACCTTTTGTTCTGCTCTCTGTCAAGATGAATCCACACTGCTTCAGTGATGTTGAGGTCCAGCTCCAGGAGAGGCCAATCCATGACTGACAGTGTTTCATTGTGTCCCCATTTCCCTTCCTTAAGACGGCTTGTTGACAGCTACCCAGATAGTTTCTGATGAGGCTTCAGTGAACAGTTAATGGATCAACTAAAGGGTCAAATGCATCTCTTTGGGCCTTTGTCAGATTTTTTTTTTTCCTATTTCTTAAAGACATGGCTTGCAGTTAATATTCATCTGCTGTACATAGTATTTTTAGGCCCTCTAGGCCTTCCTTTTGTCCTCTACTTGTCCAGTTTCTTTAAATTACTTAAGGAAAGAATCTCAGCATGGATTAAATTGGAGGTGAAGGGAGCAGTGCAATGCGGGGCCATGTGTAGATCACAGCATGCTGAGATATGTCATTTTCAGCTAATAGTCCTTTGGGAATCACCTCGTTGGTGCAAAAATCCTATTATATGCCTGTTGAACTGTGTTATCTTTGGGATTTTCTATAGATTCAACAAAGGAAATTGGAACAAATAATGTGCTTCTACGACAGGCTGCTAACAACAAAGTGCCAAAAGACACCATTTAAAATGTATCCTCTGCTAAGTTGTCTGTTATGTGGTTCATGAATTCGAGATCGGTGCCCTTTTTATGATTGCATGATTCATAGGTCAGTGTTAAGAGGCTTAACCTGGACACCTACTGCGCACGTTAAAAATGCTACAATAAGGCGTGATTCCTTGGAAGGAAAATATAAAGATATGACGATTGGTCGAAGACTTTTACACAGAACTGTAGCAGGCTTATGTCCCACCCCCCAAAGAAAAAAGTTTTATTTTGCTCATTTAAAAAAAGAAATAACTTGAATTTGAGTGCATTAAAGGTAATCATTATAGCATTAGCAGACTCGTTTGTTTATTTTCCCAACAAAAATCATATTCATTTAATTTCACTACAAATTTTGAACCTCGCCATCCATGCTGCCCCCATCAAATTGCTTTTTTCCCCCCGTAGTCTGAAGAAACATTGCATTAATCAGCTATTTATTCCATAAATTAGACCTCCTCTGCAACACATTAAAACTTTGCTTTACACCTGCAATGCATCAAGGCAGTGTTGGTAATGAACATGGAAGCAGTTCCTTTACACTACAGCGCCACAGGGGATATCATGAATATGCAACACTTTAATACTCATCATCTCAGGAGGACTTTTAGCACACCTGCAATGAGTTCTTCTTCTTTACTCTTTTGTTCTCTCATCACAGAACTTTTGCTTTTTATTGTTGTGAAATGAAATAATGATGCACTTTGGTTTCAAACTGAGAAGTATGTCTAGCAGTGGGATGTGGATATTTCAACCCGCGTGAGATCGCTTGAGCAGCCGAAGCTGATAGGACTTTGAATTGGATGCCATGTGACACAGCGCTATATGGATTAAACTGCGGTCTAGGCTGATGCGAAGAAACAGGAAATTATATGAGTAATGAAAGTCATAACGGCACCATTTTCTTTTACTGCTGCTGATCTGTCGTCTATGTTCTCTTTACCACTGTGACTCCCCAGAGAGCGAGAAAGAGTGTGTCTGCGTGCGTGCGCGCGTCGGGATGTGTGCGCGCATGTGGCGATGAGACGGAAAGACAGAAAGAGAGCGAGTCGTATAACTTGATGATAGCACACTGCTGAGTTCAGCTCACTGGGTGTGAAATGATGATGATGATGAAGAGCAGATGTGATGTGAGTATAAAAAGGATAGACACACACACACACACACACTATCACACAAATATGAGGTAGTGATAGTAAAGCAAATATGAGCGCCCTGGAGCGTTTTGACTTGTTAGGGTCCAGATGTCTGGTTGGCTCTGAGCTTTTGGCAGCCAGACAGAGCAAGAAAGGACAGAAACACACAAACACACACGCAGATGCTTTCACACACAGTCATTTTTACACACAGTTGTTCAGTGTTGTACATTATGGATTTAGTGTTTAAAATGAAACACAAATGAGCAAAACAACAATAATCAAAATAATAACATCTCTTAGATATATACACGACTACCTTTCCCAGCCCATCACCAGTATGCTTCTCTTCAGCAACAACACCTGAGAGAGTCTGACAGCACGACCCAGGCCGGCATTCATTCTGTGAAGGCAGCGGCCGTTAAAGTCCCACACCTGAAAAGAAGCCAAAATAACACTTAAAAGCATTTGGACAACACGAAATGTTTTTAAAGTCTTTGGTACACCCTCAACTGCTCATTAATGCAAATATGTAATCACAAGACAGCAAGTCGGTGCATTTAGGCATATAGACGTGGTCAAGACAAGCTGCAGGAGTTCAAACTGAGAATCAGAATGAGGAAGAAAGGGGACTTAAGTGGCTCTGAATGTAGCATTGTTGTTGATGCCAGGTGGGCTGGTCTGAGTATTTCAGAAACTGCAAAACCACCTCTAGGGTTTAAAAAGAATGGTCCCAAAATGAGAAAATATCCAGTGAGTGGCAGCTTTGGGTAGAAATACTTGTTGTAACCACTTGTTACAACCAGTTAGTATATTTCTGAATGCACAACATGCTGAGCCTTGAACCAGATGGGCTACAGCAGCAGAAGATCACACCGGGTGCCACTCCTGACAACTAGGAGTAGGAAACCGAGGCTACAGTTAACTCGGGCTCACCGAAACAGAAGATTGGATAAACATTGCCCGGAGGGAAGAGTTTCAATTTCTTCTGAAAAATTACGATGGTAGAGTCAGAATTTACCGTAAACAACAGGAAACCATGGCTCCGTCTTGCCTTGTTTTAACTCTTCAGGCTGGGGGTGGTGATGTAATCATGTGGGGATATTTTATTTTTGCACCCCTTAGTACCAGCTGGGCATAATTTAAACACCACAGCCTACCTGAATATTGTTGGTGACCATGTTCAGCCCTTTATGACCACAGCATACCCATCTTCTGATCCTCTGATCCTGCATTCTGATTAATCCAATAGAGCACTTCTGGGATGTGATGGAACAATAGATTCTCATCATGGATGAGCTGTGTGATGCTGTCATGTCCATGGACCAAAATCCCTGAGGACTGTTTTCAGGACCTTGCAGAATCTGTGCCATTGAAGCAGCTCTGAAGGCAACCCAGTACTGGGAAGCTGCAGCTAACAAAGCGCCCAGTGGGCGTATGTTGCTTAAGGAAATTTACTAGAAATGGAATTACAGCTTTATTTTCTTGTCTAAAAAAAGGATTTAAAAAAATAAATAAAACCAATGTGTGTTTTTCTACTTTTGAAAGTGTCATTTTTCCCCCCAAGGAGGGATAAGGCAACATGACATTAGGGCTTTAATCCCCCGTCACAGCTCAGGCACCATTTCTTCTTCTGTGTCCAATTTTACACGATGACGCACTTTGCGTCTTTGTTTGTGCAATTTCACAAAGAAACACTGATTGGCTCAATGGGGACACTGTAATTAAAAGGTCAAAATTTCACATTTGGAATGGCCCTAACTGCTACACAACGGGTTCATTGTTGATGAAAATTGGAGCGATGATGCATCGTGTTACTAATTGGCCCAGGGGGGGCCCTGCTTCTTCTGCTGAGAATGACTTGTGTGGTTGTTTCAAGCAGCGGTGCAAGTATTTCTGACGCTACTTGCACATGGATGCATTCTCACAAGGTCTCATGGGGTCAGAGAGCTGATGTGGTTGATTATATTGATTGCAAAAATGCATAATTATTTTATTTATTCGCAGAGAACTACTGCAGTAAGCTCAAAGTCATTAAAAACAGTCTCAGAATGCTACATATGGCAAGCTGTTTTCACATTTAATACCTACACTGGATGTGTATTGCAGAAATCTGTCATTCAATTCTTCGGAGCCCAAAAAGAACATTTCAGATATCAAAAAGGTCGTTGTCTCTCGGAGAAATGGTGTCCATTTAAGTGCACTGCACATTCTCTTTCAGATATTCTTAATTGCATTTTTCAAATCCAAAATGAACATGGGCTGAATCTGCAGTGGAATTACTACTTGGAAAAACTCCCATTTTGCATATCTAAAATTAATTTCTGATTAGTCACAATTCCGACTGAAGATATATTTAATTCCCCTCAATTCGAGATAACTGCCTTTTCCTCATTATACGTTTTAAATGAGGGGTTAACTAGTCAGAATGAGGTTGTAGACATCTTGAGCTGTAATTCTAACTATTCAAAATGATGTTAATGATATCTCAGAGTTTCCTTTTCTATAGCTGAAATGTAATTATGGATATCTTGAATTAGAGTTTCCATTAGTTGAAATTACATGAGAAATAGCTGTAATTCAGTCAGAAGCTCCTTTGTGTGTGAAGCAGGGGCAGCTTGGGATCCAAACAGAATGCCACTGCAAACATCTGGAAACAAATAACTTAGAAAACGGAAATTCCTACGAGCGAAATCTACTGAACAAAGCTCACAAGTGCTTCAAACTCCTGGATGATAAGCGCTTTTTATTACATGTTCAGTAATGATTAAAACTTATTATTATGTTTGAGATTCTCACAGCTGTTATTTTTGTAGTAAAAACTGGATTGCAAACATATGTGCTAGTCTGATTAGTCTGACTGAAATGATCCCACTACAATTTGGTAAAATGTCAACATTAATATTTGTAACATTATTTCCAGACACTGAAACTTAACTAGAGCTTACTAAATGAGGAAATGGCTTGCCAGCTAAAAGATCTTTAAACTACCAACAAAGAAGAAACTGTGCAAGACGGGATTCTGCCCCGAGGAGATCTAGTGACAAACGACAGTGTAAGAAAACCGATTTTTCTCATAAATGAATATTTAGATCTAACGAAAGTTAGAAAGTTAAGTTGTTCCTTATTTGATTTCCCCTTGTGACTTTTACCCCCTGTGTGCCCCTCTGTATCTGTGAGCCCTCGTCTCCCCTCCTTGTGTTTCATTCAATGTTTTCCCCAGCCTGTTATGTCTGTGCTCTCTCTCTCCGGTCTGAACCTCTGTGTACTTCCTGTTTTACTTTGACAGTCTCTCGTCAGCATGCGTCATGTTGTGTTCACTCCTGCCCTGTCTCGTTACGATTATCTGTGTCAGCTGTGTTCCCCGTGTGCTCCCACTTCCTTCGTTAACCCTCTGTGTATTTATGTCCGCGTCTCCCTCAGTTCTGTGTCGCGTTCTCCCTCATGACTGTGCCCCTCCATGTGTTTCCTCGTGAGTCAGTTCCTTTATGACTTCCCAGTTTAGTTTCATATTATTATTAGAAATGGTTTATTTGAGCTGAGATTCAGAGGTTTCTGTGGACACTGCTCATGTCAGCACTTATATTTCTAACCTTTTCTTATAACCGATTAAATATGATCTCCTTCCTTTTGCCCCCATTTTTGGTGGTGTAGGTACAAATGATCAG